TGTTTTTTATAATTTATTTTATTAATTATTTAAATATTGATTTTTAATTTACAGATTATAAGTGTTTTTTTTCCATCCATGAATTAAACATATTCCTTTTTCTTTTTCCCTATGATTACCTTCGTTTAAAAAAAAAAATGCAAATTGTCTACTCCTAACATATAGGGAATAAAAGCTAAAAATTGTATACTTCAGATAGTACGTGATAGCTAAAAGCAAAGAAAAATGTACGGAGCTAGATAAAGAAATTAAGAGCATCATCATTGCTTTGTTGTGTGTGTGTGAGAGAGAGAGAGAGAGAGAGAGAGAGAGATAGACATGCAATTATTGTGCCAAAAGGGGGTGTAGATAAGCCTTTACTGGTACTTGGCAATTCCACAGGTGAAGTTAAAGATATATGGATACCTTTCTGAAATGAGAACGAAAGCTGCGATGCGCCCACCCATCCACGGCGAGGGAAAATCAAAGTTCTTTACTCTCTCTAGTTCAATCCAACTCAGTCGTTTTCTGGGGTTCAGTGGGAGCGCACCAGTTAATTTGTTCAAATACGCGCGCAAGCAGACACACAGCTGCTACAGTACTACTTAAAAATTCTATCTTTAGCAATTTTAGCGAATTGATTAGGATTTAGGAATATCAAATTGGGTTCCTATGATGGGGCCTTACATCACTAAAAATTTGGCTGAATTGATGTTTATGCTTGGGGGATGACCTTGATCGATGGCATCTGTTATATCTCAAAAAAGAGAAGGATTTGATTAATCTATTTCATCCGATCCGGATGTATTAATAATACTCTTTTTATTTTTAAAGCAAAAAAAAAAAAACTAATTTATTTAACTTTTACAAAAAAAAAAATCAAAAGAATTGATATTATTTTTATGATTAATATTACATAAAAGCTTTTAATTATTAGATAATTAATAAAATAATACTATTTTATTTTTATTAATAAATACCAATTTTATTTAACTTTTACAAAAAAAAAAAATCAAACAAATTGATATCATTTTTACTATATACATTACTTAAATATTTATATATAGTCTATTGTTAACATGCACCTTAAAGGGCACAAATTAATAAAAACTAAAATAAATAGTCGCCAAGAAGAAAAAAGATGGTTGATGACTTGATGTCCATAGTCCTTACCAAATTAATATCAGGTGAAAAATCACACCAAAAAGTTTATAAATATATTTAAAAGAAAAAGAAAAAGAAAAAAAGAAAGGCGCGATAAAAGCAAATCACCAACAACCCGTGTAATACCGTCCACCATGTGATTTTTGAACCATCCCCCCTCCGACCAAAACCTCTACACCTCTACTTTTCTCAGTTCCGACAAGGAGTTGAAAGGGCAACCGAGTCTTTTGTCGTCAATGTGTCATTGCTCCATCGCTCCTGGAGCCAGACATAACTCTTCTTCCATCTACTCCCCCGCGCGTTCTTTCTCTTTGTTTCTAGGAGAACTTCCACTTCTAGCCTGACATTTAAAAAAAAAAAAAATTATTTATTGTTTGTATGTCTTTGAAGTTAATTTTTATATATTTTGAGGGTTAGTTTTTGATTAAATAATTTAAAATTTAATATTTTATTTTAATTTAATACATTTTAAAAAGTTACAAAACTTGAATTCTAAACTTATTTCATAAAATAATACTTATTTATTAATGATTTTTTTTATTTTAATTGACCCTTTAAAATAATTCTTGTTTTTGCCAATGAGCCTCAATGAATAGGTGAGTGATTTAAAAGTTAAAGTCTCATGGTTTTGAGGATGTGAATTCAAACTATCATGTATATAAATTTTCTTCAAATTTTTCATAATTTGTGTATTGCACTTAAATAATTGAACTTATAATAGTACACTTGTATTGTCTTGCATTTTTTTTTTTAAATATTGAATTGATTAAACTCCCCAACTATTTATTTGTTTAGAGAGCGCCCATTAATTACTCCATCTGTTTGCTTAAGCCCAAAATCTTAAATTTGCTCAATCACAAAAAGTTTAGGGGCCCTTTTTAGGCCCTTAAATTTGTCCCAAATTAACATTTAAACTCCTAAACTAAAAAAGATGTAAATAAGCCCTCCAATTCATTGATTGGTGCAAATAAACCCTTTATGACTAATGGTCATCTAACATAGGTAGAGTTCATTTGGTGATGTTAATGTGGTGATGTAGGTGTTGACGTGGATAAAAGGACCTTTTTAATTTTTTTTTAATTATATAAAGATAATTTTTTTGTATAATTTTCATATATTATTAAACGAGTAGATGTAAATAACATTATAAGTCTTAATTAAATAAAAATAGTTAATCATTAAATGATACATAAAATTATAAAAAAATTATCTTTAAATCTTTTTTTTTTTAATTTATAGTTTTCAAGATTTTTGCAAAACTCAAAGATCCCTTCATATCATCATCTAGAACAAATAAAAAGGAAGGGAGCAAACATTGTTAATCTAGCCGTTTGGGCTGTTAGTGCTATGAGTCATAAAAGGTTTTTTTGCACTTGTCAAAGGGTCAGAGCGTTTATTTATATTGTTTTTAGTTTAAAGACTTAAATATTAATTTGGGAAAAGTTTAGGAGCTTAGGAAGGGTTTTTCAAAGTTTAGAGGGCAAAACCGGAAAATAGTTTGAGAGCTTAGTTGAGAAAAAACTTGGAAGTCTGGGGGCTAAGAATATAAATTTCCTTTTCCAATCGCCATTCTAGCGCGTGAAATTTGGCCGTGGGCGTTCCTGTAATTTCCTAAAAAGCCAAAATTTCTTGCGCAGATATAAATGTTCATGCCACAGAGAAAGCCAACAATTCTTAATGCAGATGGAGCAACCACCATACAATGTGGATGACCAGACCACCACCACCACCACCACCATCTCCTCCCCCGAGTCCACCATCCCGAAACCGGACTCCCAACCAGGCGGCTCTCGGCATCCAGTCTACCGTGGCGTCCGGAAACGCCGGTGGGGCAAATGGGTATCAGAAATTAGAGAACCACGCAAAAAGTCACGCATTTGGCTAGGCTCATTCCCCGTTCCCGAAATGGCAGCCAAGGCTTATGACGTCGCCGCTTATTGCCTCAAAGGACATAAAGCGCAGCTGAATTTTCCCGACGAGGTGGGTGATTTACCGCGGCCGAAGACCAGTACAGCCAGGGACATTCAAGCGGCAGCAGCAAAGGCAGCACATTCGGTAGTTCTATCATCGAAAAAAAGTAAAGCCACGGACGGTGATGCTGACGACTTCTGGGGTGAAATTGAGCTGCCAGAATTAATAAACAACAGATGCCATTCGAATTCTTGCGTGTGGACGCCTTTCGGATCAGGCGAGGCATCTTGGCTCGACGGCGAGGCTCCGCCGCATCAGCAGCAGCAACAACAGTTCTTAGCATGTCTCTAACCTATATCGGTCCGCACGTCTTTGGTGTTGGAATTTGTTTGTTAGTACTTAGTCCCTGTAAAAATTAATATCTTTTTATATATTATTAGTATGTTTGTGTAACACTTTAATTTCTTCTGTTTCCTGATGTGGAAAGTTATAATTAATTGGCATATATGGTCTGCAGTACTTTTTTTTTTCCTCTTTGAGTTTGTCCATTGTAGAAATTTTGGTGTAAACAAAAATAATAAATAGAATTCCAAATTCATGTTAAATTTCTTTTAGTTAATAAAAAAAAGATATTTTATAAATCTCTATTACAATTTAAAATTTTGTATATGTCATGTAGAAGTGTCATTTAAGCTATAATGAGAACTTGACAAATGAGATAAATAGGTTTTCAAAATAAAATATATTTTTAAATTTTATTTACACTACAAAATTTCTCCCTCTAGTTTTGATTAATTACTGTATGTGTAAATTAAAACTATTAAAAATATATAAAATATTAATTAAAATTAATTTTTTTTTTTGAACAAATGAAAATTTTTAGAAGAAGGGGATTGTAGGGCTTGAGATTTGAGTCCAAGTCAATATGTCCATCGCACCCTTTTAAAAGGGTGGCCACTAAACCATCAAGGATTGGACATTAAAATTAAAATTAATTATTTAAAAAAAATATATATTTTTTTTGATAAGATACTGTGAAAAAAGATACCATGTACATCACTCCCAGATGAAGCTTGAACTAATTTGCATGATTGCATCTGCACGTGTCTCACGTTGGAGGCTGCCTGCATTTTAAATTTGAGAGTATTAAAGATTGTGACGGAATTTGTAAGTTGTGACAAACTGTCCATTATTACTCTCTTTTTAATCGCAGAATAATTATTATTTTTTAAGTTTAATTATTTATTATCTTTTTAAAATAATTATTTATTTTTATTTATTATTTAAAGATAAAATAAATAAAAATAAAAGTTATCTTCAAATTTTTAATCTGTAAATAAAATTAAAAAAACGTTTATAATTCTAAAATAGAATGAGTGTTATAATACAATAATGAAGCATCATGTTAGAAAACAAAAAGTATCATAATCATTGAAAGATATTGACACAGATATATACCTCATATTTACCAATGATTTTTTTTTTTGACAAGGATAATGGTTAAGAGATTAGTACAAATTAGTTATTAGTAACTGAGATCCTCATATCAGTGAATATTTCACTTCCTTAAATGAGGTGTACGATCATTTAATCATTTTTTGGTGGAGTTCACGACAGTGATAGAACTCGAAACTCTAACCATCGCTTCACCTAAACCTTAAGATTTAGGGTCAAACCATTAGAGGCAAGGCTTGGTTCATATTTACCAATGATATTAATAAGAAAGATTATGTGAAATTAATGTAGCTCTGGATTGTTGAAAAATATGATCATTACAAAAATTGGCAACGTGAGGAGCAGAAATAATTGAAAGGAAAGGTTATTAGGGCCGCCCGATGCTGATTGATTAGACTATTCACCCAAAATTGACACAGTGTGAGAGGGATGGAGGAGACGCGTTGTTCTTTCTTCACTTGTGTACACATACAAATTAAAACATCACTGTACATGGTTCAATCCATTAATTAATTCCATCTATATATAACAACTTCAACTTCATCAACAGTAAATTTTCTAAATATCGTTACGGACAAATTAATTATTTAAAAAAGACAATTTTAAGAATAATTTTGTATACATTGTTTTGGTTAAATTTAATTTTTGATCTACTAACTATTACTTTTTTTTTATTTTAATCTTGAAAATTTAGTATCTTTTAAAATTATTTATAAACTTTAAAAATCATTTTAGATTTATTTATCTAATAAACTTTCATTAGTTTTCTTAACGAAATCCTATGACATGCTTATGTCGCACCAATTATGTGGTATATGTAGTTTTGAAAATTTGTACTTTTTATTTTTCTTATTATTTATTCATCTTAATAATATTTTTATTTTTCCAGTGAAATTTTTTCTTTAATTTTTATTTTTAATTTTGTAATAAATTTATATGTTTTAATTTTGATTAACAATTAAAAAAAATCATCATTGTCATTATTAGAATAAAATTAAATCATTTCTTTTGTTTATTTAGTTTAAAAAATTAATTTTTATTTGTATTATCTTTTTTTCAAAATAACTTTTGTTTTTTTATTTTTTTAAATTAAAAATTTAAAAATAATTTATGTTTACTTATCTGACCCTTGCAAAAAATTAAAAGATGAAGAGAAACATTTTGAAATGAGATGATTAATTAAAGTAAATAGATAACAATAAGGTTAAAATAAAAAAATATATTTGTTTATCTTGAAAAAAATAATTAATTTGTGACAAATTTGAAATTATAGAGCGATATTTGTTTTGGAACAAAATGGAGTAAAGTTAGAATATACTTCTTACCTCCCAAAATAATAAGCATGTTTTTAGTTAGAATTTATTTTAAAATAATAGTGATTTTTTTTATATATTTTAAAGGAAATAAATTTTTTATTTCTACTTTAATTTTATGATTATATATTAATTTTAATAATTTTTCTTATCATGAAAGAGTAATGATAGGAATGACAAAAATTTAGAACTAATGATGTGTTATAAATTATTAATAATATGATATAAATTATATCATTAAATTAATTAATACATATAATTTCACATATCTTAAAAAAAGAATCAATATGGGATCCACTTTTTAATATTTTAAATAACGTGACATGAGCTAAATTTTAGTCCTAGATTTTAGTCTCAAATTTTGATTCTGTTTATCATTATTTTTAAAAAGGTTCATTATTTTTATTTCTTTTTTAAGTATAAAATATGTAATAATAGAAATTGTTTCTAAATCCTTAATTTAAAGATAAATTCAAAAATGTTTATTATTTTAAGATAGGGAAAATACATTTTTAAAATTTTTACATGTAAAAGATTTTTTTTTAAATTTTAATTTGATAAAACTATTATTATAATCTTAATTAATTAACAAATTAAGCTAACAATCTTAATTATTTATCATTAGTTTTGACTAATTATAATTTAGTCCATTTAAGGACTTAGTTGAGTAAATTGTATTGTAAAATGATTTAAATATAAAATTTAATTAAAAATTTTAGAAAGTTTTTTTGGATTAAAGTATAATTTTTCAAAACTGCATATGCCACATAAGTGCTAACTAGTGCCACGTAAGCATCGAGATGGGATTTCGTTAAAATAAAACTAACAAAAGTTTAGTAGATGGATGAATTTAAAATAAACTAAAAATTTTAAATTAAAATAAAAAAATAATAATTAGTAGATAAAAAATTAAATTTAACTGTTAAAAATATATTTATACACACCATAGAGTATGGAATATTCGTTGTGGGACAGGACGCTAGCTATTAATTGTTGTATATTGAACTATATTTTGGCACCGTATGTAGAAATGCATGCGGATGCTTGTTTTATTGTCCTGCCCACAATAATACGACTCAAAAGATCAGTTTTACCCCACCCCTTTTTTTTTTTTTTTTAAAGGTACAATTTGGGACAAAAAGATGAAAAATCGATTTTGCATGATAATAACATATGATTGAATTGTACTGTAAAAACATGCATAAACTCCAATCAGTCATCAATCATATCGTGTCATATTGACTCTTCGTCCGAGTAAATATTACATCTGACTTAATAGCATTTGCAATTTGGCAAAATTCACAATAATTAATTGGTTAAATCTTCAATTTGGTCCCTGAACTATTGTATAGACATCTAATTTGGTCCCTAAACTAAAAAATTCCTGATTTAGTCTTTATTGTTTACCAATTTACCCCCAAATTAATCATTCCGTACAAAAAAGTGACGTGTCTAATATTTAACGGTGAAAAATAGTAATTTAATGGTAGAAACAATAACTTATCAGCAGAAAATAATAACTTAACAGCAGAAAATAATAACTTAACAGTCACGTGTCACGTTAATAATGAGACATGTCAGCTATTTTTGTATAGAAAGATCAACTTATGGCAAATTGGTAAACAGTATGGATCAAATTGGGGATCCGTATAATAGTTCAGGGATCAAATTAAGAATTTTTTTAGTTCATAGATCAAATTAAGGTCTGTACAATAATTTAAGATCCAAATTGGAGATTTAACCTAATTAATTTTACTTTGCAACCACTCGAAATTCAAAAAATTATAATAATTATTTTTTAATATTGATTGTAAAGGTCCTTTTTTTTTTTAATTTCATTTTTACATATATTAAAACTAATTTTTTTCATATAACTTTCAAAACACACCCTTATATCACTTAATACTTTTAATGAAATTTTTTTAAATGCTAACCTTTAAGACTTAAATCATGAACTAATGAGTATTCCTGTTATTTTTTGTTGTACGGTACGTACATAAAACTATGCATATGTTTCTAGTATTAACTTCTTGGTATTTGATAATCAGATTAGATTTCAATTAATCTGAAATCAAGTCATATTAGACCCTATTAGGGGAAGAGTTCTCCCAACGCATGTTTCTTCATTCACAAGATTCGTACTCGACACATTGTTTAAGAAGAATCGAATTTTTTTCATTTAGATCAATAGATCGTTGGTAAAACTATGTATATGTTAATTGAAAGGAAGATACAATTAATAACTTTAGCAGAGTAGGAAATTGGGAGCAGCTACTATTAGGTTAAATTTTTTATTTGTATTTTGTATATTATTTTTTTATAATTAATATTTTCAAAAAATTTTACTTTTGATTAATATCTTTTATAATTTAAAATTTATAAAAAAAATTAAAAAAATTAACAATCAAATACTATATTTGTATCATAATTAAAATTTTTTATGAGTTTTAAATTATAAATAATAATAATAATAAAAAAATAATATACAAAGTGAAAATAAAAGGTTTTTTTTGGCTTTTTTACTCTGAATAAGAAATGAAAGAAGATTAATTTAATGACCTTTTCTTTTGGAACGAATAATTTAAGGGGGGATTTGTTCGGTTCTGCAAATAGCTTTCTCACCACGTAAAAGAAGATATGACAATTGCTACTGCACGTGATATAATTTTGGAATGGAAAGCTGTGTGGTGTGGGGGTGGAATTGGAATGTGATATCTCATAATGGGGTGGATGCCAATTGGCC